ACATCCCAAGGCTGGCTCCATTTCCTGGGCATTGTCATGAGTTTGGTCTTAGAAAATATACATCAAAGAGTGTTAATCTGCTCTGCAGAGCCCTCCTGTCCAGGAACCCAGAAGTCCCTGAGTCCAGGCGCAGGACAGAGTAGGGCAGGAGAGGCAGCTCAGGATGCGGATTTGCATGGAGGCCCCTCCTCTGAGCAGGGATAAGAGAGGTCCTGATGGATTTCTGAACAGGGCATTAAGCCAATCCCATTTCATTATTATCTAAGAAAATATATATTGTTATTTAAATGCATTTCTAAAATAACATAGCATAGACAAGTGAAAAGCTCACACACACACACACAATAGTCTCAAATCCAAAACTACCAATTACCCCAACCACATATTCCTTCTCCCCATCCCAGATGCCATCACTCACCTCCTACCCTTGGCCAAGGTGTCACCTCCCTTCATGCTCTTGCAAATGTCTCTCACGTGCTACGAGCAGGGATAAAAGGGACTCCTCAGAACATTCACATTCCACAGAACGCCTAGTCCATTTAGGAAAGGATGTTTCTATTTCTGGCAAGGACCAAACAATCTTGATTACTCTGTATGCCAAATCCAACTATTTCCAGAAAAACACACTAGGTCAAGCACCTCTCCATGGAAGGAAGAGACTTTTCACCTGGGAGGCACACAGCTCTGTGCGGGGTAGTGTCCATAGGCACAGAGTGGCAAGAGGAGGACGGTCCTGTGTCTCGTGGGACAGACAGGCACCCTGATGAGAGGTCCCTGGAGCTGGGACCCCCAGAGCACCCTGACCCCTGTCCCTTCCTCAAACACAGGACTCACCTCCCGCTGCCCACTGGGTCCCTCTCAAGTCTGACAGAGCTCTCTCTCCTTCACGCAACAGTCTTCCTTCCAAACCATTTTGGCTAACTCATCGACGTCTCCTCAGCCCGTTTTCCTCATCCCGCCTTCCTCCTGTGGTTGGTTTCATTGAAACTCTCACGTTACCTAAGCCCTGAGCCCAGAGCTGCCCCCGGAGCCCTGGCCTGGGACGAGGCTGCCCTGGGACGAGCTAAGAGGTCCTGAGGGGCACATCAGTCCCCCCAGTGTGGCAGGGGACACATCTCTTCCTGGAGGAAGACAGAGGACCAAACGCTTGGCACCTGGAGGGGGTTGGGAGGGACCAGGAGCCTGGGCCGGAGCTGGGAGGGAGCCAGAGTAGGGACTTCCAGCTCCACCCAGCTGCCACCCTGGGCTTGGATCCTCCATTTGAGGCCTCCAGGGGCAGCCAGGGCCTGGATGAGGACAGGGAGTCACTCTGGGTCACCAGGAACTGTGTGATGTCCTGAGGCCACTTCCCCTGAGACACTCCTAAGAGTGCAGTGGGCATGAGGTGTTCAAAATCTACCGTGTCCCTGCATGTGCTTTTTCAGAAGGGCTAATAAATGGCTTCAGAGCACCGCATAGGAAGGGACAGAGGGGTGCTTGAGAACTCATCCTACCTGGGGGGACCTAGAAGGTGTTACGTGGAATGAGCAGTCCCCAGCTCTGCCTGTGGGCCCTGGGAGTTGGAGCCACTGAACCTGTCCTGGCCATTGTGTGACCCTGTCTTCACCCTGGTGCCACACAGCAAGGAGAGGAAAGTCCTGGGACTCCCGAGCCATTGACACCAACCCTGCCACAGCAGGAAGGTCCTGACGCCCCAAGGCTGGCTCCTTTCCAGGGCAGTTCTCCGGGAGAGTGGCCATGCCCAGTCGCCTCCACTAAGTGACGGGGCCAAGCAGAAAGGGAGCCAGAGAGTAAGAGCAGAGGGCTGACTTTGGCCTTGGCTAGGAACACAGGAGGAGGTTTTATTGACTTCCACTGATACCCATTTTCCTATCATGGGACAGGGCTGGAGGAAGCAGCCGCTGGACTCCTGACCTGTGGAATGGAGAATGGTAGTGGGCAGGTGAAACGGCTCAGCCCCTCCCTCCTTCCTCTGGGATTGGTCAGTGGCTGTTTCTCATTGCCTGGGGTGGATCAGGGCATGAAATTAATCAAGACACGGAGTCCCCATCCTTGAAGTATTAGGGCATGCAGGCCAAACGAAAAATGAAATAATTTACTTTTTTCCTTTCTTTTCTCTCCTTTTTTTTTTGTAGAGAGAGGTCTCACTATGTTGCCCAGGCTGGTCTTGAACTCCTTCTATTTTAGCTTCTCAAAGTGCTGAGATTACAGGCATGAGCCAAATTTCCACTTGTACATTGTAATCAATGCACTGCTCTGGATATAAAACTCAGGGGCTGACCTGCGTACTTAGAAAGGAGAGCTCACTCGGGAAGAGATTTTGGAGTACGTTTATGGCCCCTACGCACAGAGAAGGAGCCAGCTCTGTGAGGATAAAGAAAGAAACATCTAAACCCAGAAGCGACCTTGAATCATGGGTTGAGGCAGAAAAGTACCCAGACCGCCTCACGACCAGGAAGAGCATAAAGGAAGCCTGGGGAGCTCAGAGTGGACAGGCGCGAGCAGGGAGGGAGGGGGAGGACAGGATCAGATGACCACGCAGGGATGGGGACCGCGTGGAGTCTGGCTCCAGTCTTCGTTCAGAGTGAAGCCAGTCTGTGTTGTGAACGGCTCTACGGTTGTCACGTGGAGAACAGAGTGCAGAGCCCCGAAGCGGAAGCTGTGTCAACGGGGAAGTGACTCTCACTCAATTCTCTGCCAGATCTGTCGGGAGTTGCTGGTTTTCAGTTGATGCAGCTTTTTACTTCGCATGAAAATGAAGTGATAGCTTTTAAACTCCTTCCTTGCCAGAGCACAAACCAGAAATCCTTTTTGATTTATTAAAACTCTATGTTTCCCCCTCTGTGTTTGATATGGGACAGTTTTCATTGCTCTGACTTGACGATCACTTTCATTCTCTAATGGTTAATCCCACCAGGTGTAATTTTCATCTCTAGGAGTTCCACCATGTGGTTTATTGTACTTCTGTTCCTTTGCTGTAACTTTCTCTCCACTTATCTCAAGAAAGTTTGCCTTATTCCCTATATCATGTTTTAAACAGCTGGTTTAAATTCTTCGCACTATATTTCCTGTTATGATAACATCTGTCATAGTGGGGTTAGCAGCTGTCATCTTTTCTATGTCACTTGACATTTCCCTGGTTCTTCAGATGCCAAGTGGCTTTGGATTCTAACCTGGATATATCTAATTTTAGGTTATGATACTATGGGATTGTTAAAAATCCTTTGTTGATGTTTTCGTTTGAGCATACTTGGGTTTAGGCTGCAAGTTGCAAGCAGCTTTCTCTGGATTGTGGTTTCTACGTCACATCAATTTAGAAAAACGTCCTGTTTGGATCTCTCTTTAGCTACTTAGTAGTCATCTGGGATCTGGGTGGGGAGGTCTATTCCTTCATTCTGCCCCCAAAGACTTCCCTGTTCTGTATAGGGCCAGATCCATGCAAGAGAGGCTCAGAGCTGAGCCCAGGGTTCCGTAAGTAATCTATAGGGTTGTTTCCTCACACTCATTGCTCTCCACAATCTTCCCGTTATTTGCAGCTCCCCCAGGCCTGCTCTTTTAGTCCTCTGGTGAAATATGGTGACTTTTGTTATCCTGCGCTGCTGTCTGTGTCCACACCAAGTACCAAGAAGACAGAGAGTAACAAAAGCAATGGGATGAAGTGTCACTGTCTTGGAAACCAGTTCCTAAGATGAGAAAAGAAAGTCTCACAGTCTCCACTGTCACTGCTGTCACCCCGAAGAATTTTCTGGAGCCTGGATCACGTAAAATGGAGAGAAGAAAAAACATAAGAGAAGGAAAATGTGGACACTACAAATTTGTCCTGAGCATTAGGGGTTCCCTTTCTCATCTTCAAGCCAGAACAGTGGAGATTCTTCTGGAACTCTCCGTGTCTGCACGCTGGTTCCCCTTCCGGGTTGCAAGCCGCCTCAAGAGTAGGCCATGGGATGCCGGGGAAAGTGGGAAACGCTCTGGTGGTTTGATTTTACTCAAGGTGCTGGTGTCTCTCCCCATCTGCCTCCCAGTTTTGTTTTCCCAGGTAGACAAACTGACGCTCCACGCATGCTGTGCCGGGCTTCAGACCTGCGTTCACTCAGAGAAAGGTGGTGCATGCTTACTGCATGTTACGTGGAACCACAATAATACTTCTTTTAACTTGGAAATTAATTTTCTCTGCACCATAGGCATGGCGAAATGGAAAGATAAAAACAGTTTTGAAAGTGTGTTGAGGAAAGAAACAGGGAGAAATGTTTTCACGATGCTTTGTGTTTCCCACGTTCTCCTTGGTGAAAAGTCACATTTAGGGTGGCTTGCGGGTGCGTTGAAGTGGAAGGAAACAGAAAAAGCACATCTCTGTAACCAGAGGAAAAAAAATCAAACATAAGTGAAATCTTTACGTAAGTATGAAGTCTGTTGTAAAAATAAGTGACTCTTATTAGGATAGAAATGACCCACTTTAGAAGCTGTCACTCTCCTCCTCACACTCATCTCCCTAAAGATCCCCTCCTCGGGCAGGGGCCTTGCTGGGCCTCATTTCTCAGGCTGAGAACTGGAGTCCCAGAAAAGACCAGTCACATGCTCACGCCTGGACATGGCAGAATTCAGAGCAGCAGACTGAAGCTCAGCATGGTGGCCCCGGCAGGGGTTCCTGGTCCCTCCAATGGGTCCCTGCCATATGTGCCCCGGATGCTGCCTGGGGCGTGTGGGTGTGTGGCCTGGGGTGACTGATGTGCTTCAGGGATTTGGTGCTGCAGATGCTTCAGCACAAAGGGTGGGGGTGGGGTGGGGACCGGGCTGCAGCTGGGAGACTTGAGACCAACCTCACAGCAGGTGTCTCCAAGGATGGGGGCCCATTTCCTACCAGTAGAGAGACCCAGGAGGTGGGTGCCCAGCAGAGGGCACTGCAGGGGGTGCCCAGGCCTGGGAGGGCCACAGACACGTTGTCACTTCACAGCAGACACACTGAAAGGCCAGGAGCTCACTAGGCTGAGGGACTTCAGCAGATGTATCTGTCCTGTGCAAATCAGGAACAAAGAAACCACGTTCCTCTCATCAGAGTACACAAACTGTGAGTTTCAGTCCTCAGCGGAGCCCTGCTGTCCAGGGTCCAGCAGTCCCCGAGGGCAGGCCCAGAGCAGGCGGCAGGAGAGGAGCTCAGGACGGGATTTGCATGGCGGCCCCTCCTCTGAGCAGGGATAAGAGGGGCTGGAGCAGGCCCAGCGCTGGTCTCAGGCAGCGCTCTGGGGCGTCTCCACCACGGCCTGGGCTCTGCTCCTCCTCTCCCTGCTCACTCAGGGCACAGGTGGCTCCTCCAGGGAAGGGGCCTCTGGGGACCTCAGGGACCCTGCTGCTCCTCAGGCTCCCCTGGGGCCCTGCGCTGACTCACCAGAGTGTGTTTTTCCTCTTTCCAGGGTCCGGGCCCAGTCTGCCCTCACCCAGCCTGGCTCTGCGTCTGGGGCTCCGGGACAGACGGTCACCACCTCCTGTGCCGGAAGCAGCAGTGACGTTGGGAAGTATAACGAAGTCTCCTGGTACCAACAGCACCCGGGCACGGCCCCCAAACTCCTGATTTATAGGGTCAGTAGCCGGCCATCTGGGGTCCCCGATCGCTTCTCCGGCTCCAAGTCTGGCAACACGGCCTCCCTGACCATGGCGGGGCTCCGCGCTGAGGACGAGGGTCACTGTTACTGCCATTCACCTAGGAGTGGTGGCACTCTCCACAGTGGCGCAAGTTCCTGGGGAAGTGCGACCCAAACCTGCCCTGAGCTCACGGCCCCTCCTGCTCTGAAGATGTTGCCCGCCCTGTGCAGAGGGGCTGCAGGCCACTCGCCTGGGGACTCCCTCCTCCGCCAGCCCTCCTCCCCCTCCCTGCAGTCCGACCTGCTCCCCGGCTGACCATCTAGGACAATCACAGCCCCCTTCCCTGCGTGACTGGTCCCAACTGTGCAGCTGTCTCCAGCTCTGCACAGGCGGGGCTTCGTGACAAGGGGCTGCCTGCTGGGTGCAGTCCCTGCTGTTTGGGGAAATCTCACCCTAAATGGAGAGGAGTCATTAGGGAAGTTTCCAGAAAAGACTTCTTACCCAAAGTCCTTTCCGCCAGGCTCTAGTGAAGGTGGCCTCCCTGCTGGGTTAGTCCTCGCACACGTCTGTACCAAAGCAGTCGCCCCGAGAGATGATCTGAAGATACTTTGGAGGGAGAAATACAAGGGGAAGAATTTGCTTTTTTCTTCTTGTCCTTTCTCTTCTCTCCAACACCTCAGGCTGCTGCGCCGGGGAGCATTTGAGCGACGCAGTTTGTGCTCTGTCAGCACCGCCCCTCCCCCACAGCACTGACCCCTGTCCTGGAAACACCCACAAGTGCACTGTGTCCCCGTGAGCTGGGAGGTTCCAGATGGCCCCTCGGGGAAGAGTCACTTTGAGTGACCCCTTCCCCACTGACATGGAGCACATCTAATTTCCACGGGGACAGCAACTTTCTAGCTGGAATCCCGCTTACTCTCTGTCTGTGAGAAGTAATATAATAAAATATTAGATGAACTGGATGCAATATTTAAATTTTCTAGAATTTGTGAGCCAGTTTTAATACATAGCCATTATTAATGTTTAGACTTCATAAATTTGAATTAAATAGATTATATGAAAAACAAAGTAACCATTTTACTGAATATATGCTGTAATGTAATGCTATATACGCTAAAATACACAAGAACAAATTTATTACAAAGTGTGCATTAGCTGTCTACTGCTGCATTGATCCTATTCTTAAAACGGCGTGTCAGGGAACAAATATTTGGGATCCGTTAGTTGGGTGCCTCAAGAACCTGAGAGCGGCTGGTTCCACGGTCCTGGCTCAGGGTTGCTCAGGAAGCTGCAGCCTAGTTTGGTGGGGGCTGCATTTAGAGGCCGGAGCAGGGGGTCTGAGGGGACCGGCCACTGTCCCTGTTCTCTTTGGCAGATGTAGGTGAGCTCAGGGCAAAGGGCGAGCTCCCACTGGGGGCAGCACCCCTGAGTCAGAGGGAAGGGTCCATGGGGCCCTGGGGCTGCCCCAGCCTGTCTGGGAGGGAGAAGGGGGTTCACAGCAGGGACAGGACAGAGGACACTTCCCAGGGACCTGAGCTGTCTTGGCAGCTCCATCACGTGGGCTGTCAAACAACTCAGAAGTAAACCCTAACCTGAGTTTTCCTGAAGGAAATTTGAACTAGGCCTGTCTTCAAACTTTTCCTTTCCACATTGTCTTTTGGATGATTTTGATTGTAATTGTTATTATTTTTTTCTTCTTTTTTATTTTATTAACCCCCAGCTATTGGGCCCCATGTCTTCCAAATCCTATGCTAGTGTGAAACTGAGTAATTATTTCTCTTTAACAGACCATTCCATATTTGAACAGATTTCTCGGTCTTTCTATGTGTAATTGATAAAGCTCAGGCACAGCATAGAGAATCTTCATGAAATACATTTCTAGACTCTGCACTCACTGTAACTGCAGCTGCTAATTAATCTGGGCAGAGCGGGGCAAGGCCAGTGTTCCCTGTCTTGAAACAGCCTCGGCAGCGTCCCTGCACTCGTGCTATTAGGTAAGTGGCAGCCATTGTTCTCCACCTGTAATATACTCCTGCTCTCTCCCTGATTTTTCTACGGAATATGCAGCTGTGTTTATAATCCTTCTTGGTTCCAGTAAGATGAGGCAATTCTCTGACGGCTAGTGAGCACGCAGACAGTAGCTCCACACATTGTCAGAAGTCACTACCACCACACCTCCTGGTTGGAAATCTCAAATATTGTCCTGATTACAGTAACCTGGAGCTTGCAGTTTAAGCAATTCAGTCCCTGTTACTTGAAGGCAGATGCGTGCGTCTGTGGGTGACAATCTGAACAAGGTCGCTTCTGCATCCATGCTCGGATCCTTCCCTGCCCCTGTCCTCACACTCAGTCCCATGGGTGACCTTTTAAGAGCACTTTGTTGGTACAAAGAAAATCAGAAATATTCCAGTTTGCCTGTTAAGCATAATTTGAAAACATCTGGGCAAGTTATGACACACTTTGGAAGGTAGAGTTGATAATAAAAAGCTGGCCAATTGCTTCTTCCTGGGATCAATGGTATTTCAATTCTCTAAATCCTAATGGAATGAAAGTGTCAGAAATGGGGAAATAGACCCAAGTGCAAAGTGTCTCAGGCCACGTGCTCCCCGTTGACTGTGCGGCCCAAACACCACGTGGCCCAGCTGACAGGGCGCCCAGCAACCAGCTGAAGGCGGGTTCTCCGGGTGTCTGAGGTCCTGGGGCAGGGAACGGAGCGTCCCCTCCACACCTGCTGGTCCCCTTGTGCAGACACCCCTGCGTGTCCCCGCTGACGGCCAGGAGGGCTGCGCAGCCCTGGCCTCGCCCTGACGGGCACCTCCTGCAGAGTGACACAGGCTGCCTTGACACGGGCGCACGGGCTTCCCCACCCGCTGGGATCCTGCTTCCTGCCACACGCATTTCTGAAAAGCTGCGCCACCTGTCACCTGCTTATCAGAGCACCTGTCCACTGCTGCTGGAGTGGGACCTCATGTCCTTGTCACCCGAGCAATTTCCCTTCCACAAAGCTCACACGCTGCTTCCTGGCACCCACAGGGGATGGAGGAGCCCGTGACAGCGGGGGGATGGGAAGGCTCCAGGATCAGCTCATCTTGGTGGGGGAGGACTCTGTCCTCTCTCAGCCGTGGGGTGACTCTGTCCCAGCTGTGCACCCCTCCTTAGCCTGACCCTTGACCAAGGTGTCAACGTCCACGTTTTTGACACTCATTTTTTCATGCAGAGACACTCGCTGTGCTGTCGGTGCCACCGTACAGCTGCTGTGCCCGTCTCCCAGTCAGCAGCCTTCCCGCAGGTGACCGGGGGTTCCCAACCGAAGTTGTCTCATGAAGGAGTGTCTGGAAGTTACACAAACGCCACCACCCAGAGCAAATGAGCAGCTGGTGCAGGCCTGCGCCCTGGCCTCCAAGCTGGACACACCCCAGGTGCAGTTGTCATTCAGAGTCCCCACAGGAGCAGGCCGCAGCCAGACTTCACCTCTGTCCCTTCCCCTCCCGCTTCCTCATTGTCCTTTTCTGGTTTCTTTCGAGAACATTCCTCAATAGATCACATAGGCCCATGTTCCTGTCTCTAGGCCTGCTTCCTAGAGACTGTACATAGGGTGGAGTGAAGGGTGAGGCCCCTGTCCTGGTGCTCCATGTCTAAGATTGTCACATTCACCATTTCTAGTACATCTTTCCCAAGACATCCCAGGCATCATTCATGACACGGCTGCAGGACATTCCATGCATATGCTCATGTGGCAGGTCATCATTTGCAGGAACACAGAATGTCACCCTTGCTCCTGGGTATGAGGGCGTGTCATTGTGCACCCTCCTTCCCTCCTATCAAGGGCACCCTCAGCCCACAAGGAAGCCTCAAGGTCAGCTAGGCGAACACTGCATGTTTGCATGACCACTGCCAAGTAACCACTGTCTTTATTCTCACATCATCACGTTGGTGCTCAAGGCTGGAATTGGAAGTCATAGTTTCACATGCACATGGGAGATTCATCTTCTTTGACTCTATTGTTTCTGACTAGGATTTATCTTAGTTAGTTGGGACATATTATCCTCTTCAAACAATATAATCATTGGTATTTTAAATTTCATTTTCTGTATCAACTATGGCTCTTTTCCATACACTGCCAAGATATACCATGGAGACTTCTTATGAAATTCCATTTCATGGGCATTTGAATTCTCACTTTAATGATATCAAGAGAGCACACACACCATGACCCTGTATGTAACTCACACACGTTGCTGGTGCTTCTTGCTCTGTGTCTTCAATTTTAGCAAGGAAACTGGGAGCTTTGACTTTTCCAAACACCCAGATGATAACAGGGAGGGCAGGTGAAACCCACAGAGCTGATATTATTCAAAGCCTCCGGTGAATGAGACCTGGAGACCCACCTGCACTTGATTTGGGTGATATTCAGATGAGATTTGGGTCTCACAGTGGATGCTGAGTTAGTGCAGGAGCTGGGGCGGTTGGGGTGGGGGTCGTGGATTTACAAGTGAGACTGAACTGATTCTGGGGAGTCCACAGGGTGGAAGGATACTGGGGAATTATGTCCCCCTCAGATTCATATGATGAAGCTCCTACCCACAGTGTGGGACTGAATTGGGACACAGGGTCTGTAGAGAGGCGATTAAGTGACAATGAGGACATTGCAGGGATGGGGGGACCTGATCCAATTCACAGGTGTCTTCTTAAGGAGAGATGCTTTGGACACACTGACATGAGACAGCAGAGATGACCACGCAGAGCAGAGACCCTGTGAGGTCACAGCAAGAAGGTCGCCCCTGCAGGCCAAGGAGAGAGAACTCAGGAGAAAGCAACCTGCAGACACCACTATGTTCTTCCAGCTTCAGAACGGCCAGAAGGTGAGCGTTGCTGCTCAGGCCACTGGGACTTTGGTACACTGTGATGGCAGCACTAACAAAGGACATCTACAGGGACCCTGAGGCCTGGGAGGAGGGAGGAGGAGTCAGGGCTCAGGTGGGGGCAGGGCAGGGAGGGGGAAGGTCAGGCCCCCAGGGGAGTCTCCTGGGGGATCCTGACTCCACTCTGTACTGTCTGGGGGACCTGGGGAAATATATTTCATCTCCCAACATTGAGTCCTGATGAAGGTGCACCCTGGGAACAGGGCTCCTCGTCCTCCTCACACACTGTGAAAATCTTCTTGAGGTTACAGTTCTAAGTCACTCGCCAATGCATGTGGCACATAGTGCTCAGATGTAGTCAGGGTCCATAAACTAGTGACATATGTGGGGTGACATTCCCCTCGTGGGCACAAGAGGGCACTGTGGGCCTTGGTTTGGGAACCTGAATAACTCCAAGTCCCCTGGTGGAGCTCAGGTGCAAAAGGCATGACTGATGCTTCCTTCCAGGCCCTTCTATTAGGTGAAATCCCTTTAATGAACTTGAGAAATTACCAGCCTGAGGCCCTGAGGCTCAGGGCTTAGAAAACATCTCTGACACTTTGGAAAGTAAAGAATGATTTGCATGCTCTGATCACCAAAAACCACCCAGCGAGTCAGAAGGAAGCAGATTTGCATGAAGAGCCTCCCCTCCTGTGATAAGCCAGCCCCGCAGGTCCCTCCCCAGCTGTGGGTCAGAGGCAGAGCTCCGGGTGTCACCATGGCCTGGACCCCTCTCCTACTCCCCCTCCTCACGCTCTGCACAGGTGCCGCCCCAGGCTCAGCCCCCACAGCACCAGGGCTCAGCCTGGCCCTGAACTTCCGCTCAGCACAGGGGCTGCTGCCGGGTGAGGGGCCCTCTGGGAATGAGACCGTCACCCTCAGACCCCCCTCTGCTGTCCTCTCTTGCAGGTTCTGTGGCCTCTCAGCCGAATCAGGTGCCTGCAGTGTCTGTGGCCTTGGGACAGACGGCCAGCATCACCTGCCAGGGAGATGGCTTAAGGAGCTACTATCCCGGTTGGTACCAGCAGAAGCCCGGCCAGGCTCCTGTGCTGGTCTTCTATGGTAACAATAAGCGGCCCTCAGGGATCCCTGAGCGATTCTCTGGCTCCAAATCGGGGAACACGGCCATGCTGACCATCAGCGGGGCCCAGGCTGACGATGAGGCTGATTATTACTGTCAGACATGGGACAGCACTGGTACTCATGCCACAGTGACACACGCAGATGGGGAAGTGAGACACAAACCCCTTCTCCATCTGTGTCACCCTCTCCCTCCAGCCCAGGAGGACTTTGGTCTCAGCCATGAGCAGGGCTGGCCCAGGTCACCCAGATCTGAGACCCTCAGGCTGCCCATCCCTCCAGCCCTCCCTGCAGGTTCAGGAGAGCATGGGTCAGGCATGGATTTGGGGCTGGCACGACCAGATGGCCTGGTGTTGTCTGGGCCAGATTGTGATTTGGGTTAAGATGACTTGCAGGAAGGCCAGTCAGAGGGAGATATCCAGTGAGTGGTCAAGGTCCCTGGATGTCTTCTGGTTGGTGCCTGAACTGAAGCCACTGCCTCAGCTCTGTGGCCCAGATAACCAGATTGTCCCTCTGAGCTGGTCCTGTCTGACTGGCACCCTCGAGCCCAGCGCTCACGGCTCCTGCTGCTCTGAACAGGGAAGCCCATGGCAGTGGGCACCGTGGTGGCCACGAGGATCCCCTTCGGGCTCATCCACCCACCCATCCACCCGCACAGTGGGCTGGAGCCCTGGTGTATCCCAGCTGCTCCCCCACTGGAAAATGCCATGAGCACAGGGCACTGCCCCTCCCAATTGCACCCCTTCCTAGTGTGATCCAGGAGCAGTGACTGCCTGGTGCCCAGGCCCCAGTGTCGGGTCTGTATTTAGGATGATCCCGTAGTGCCTCCCACTGGGTGCACGGCTGTAACCCAGCCCAGTCTGGCTCCCATCTGCTCTCCTGAGAATCATCCCCGACCCTGCGGCACGGAATTCTCCCTCTGAGTAGGACTGCAGGGAATTCAAACCTAGAAAACAGACAAGACACAGTCCCCAGGGCAAAGCACCTAACAGTCTGGAGGGAAGAGAGGACTCTGTATCCTGCAAATCTTCAGAGAACCAAGGAGCACAAGTGTGGGAGGAAACTCCTGCCAGGGAAAAGAACATCCACAGACTCTGGCGGGAACAGGAAGAGAGAACCAGACATCCCTCCACCTGTCCAGGGACTTCTAGATAATTGATGGTTCCTTCACTCCCTTCTTTGTGCAAAATGTAGCTCTCTTGGGCCTCACAGGAATGTAAACTCTCCCTCTTCAGCCCCCTGCACCTTGCCTTCTCCCTTCTGTCTGGAAGCCTTTAAAATGCCCAAGGTTCCAACCTCTCCTTAGGGAAAACTGCGATGGCTCGTCTATGGGTCGATGGGTTCCTCTTTTTTGGGGGGGAGAGTCCTCATGGTATTGGCTTCGTAAACCTCCATTGATGGAAATTCTCCCTCAGTCATTTATTTGGGTTACAGAAGCAAGAAAATATGGGATAGAACAAGCAGAAAGGTTATTAGTCCCAAGTAGCCCCCAAATTGCATGGATGGAGGACATTTTGGGCAGGGATGTAAAAGCAGGAGTTTTAATTATATTCCATTTGTTTATGAAGATAGAGGATTGACTGAAAGTGTTAAATGGAGACATGAAAAACATTTAAAATGCCCAAATTAAACTTCCAGAAGTGATCGGTAAAAGGTCTGTGATAAAATATACACTAGACTAGGCACGGTGGCTCCCACCTGTAATCATAGCACTTTGGGAGGCTGAGGCAGAAGGATTGCTTGAGGCCAGGAGTTTCAGGCTGTAGTGGGATATGATGACACGACTGTACTCTAGCCCAGGCAACAGAGTGAGACCCTGTTTCAAAAGAAAAAAAAATTGAAATATACTTATTGCAGAGTAGATGCTGCAAAAGAAAATATCAGACAATTGAAAGATATAGTATTGGAAGTTACTCAAGATGAAAGAAAGAAAAAGAGAAGACAAACATATAAATAGAGCAATGTTGAGCTGTAGGACATCTTCAAGCTGCTGTCAATTAAAAAGAACCCAAACCTGTAAAATAATTTGAAGAGGTTTATTCTGAACCAAATATGTGTGACCATGGCCCAGCCAGCCACACCGAAGAAGGCTTGAGCATGTGGTCTCACTGTGGTTGGACCACAGTTTTGGGGAGTGTCCTCAGGAGACAGGAAGGCGGACAGGAAGTACATGTGAAGTCACAGGTCAATATATGGAAGATGTACATTGGTTTGGTCCAAGAATGCTGCCCAGCGATCTCACTGCTGGGTATTTATCCAAAGGAAAGCACAGCAGAGTGCCAACGTGACACCGTCACTCTCATGTTTACTGCAGTGTTGCTCACAGTAGCGATGACACATCAACCTAAATGTCATCAGCAGAGGAACTGATGAAGAAAATACGGCACCTACACACAATGGAATGTGATGGAATCAAGAAAAAGAATAACATTCCCTCATTTGCCACATGGATGGAACTGGAGGTCATTGTGTTAAGTGGAAGAAGCCAGGCAGAGAAAGACTAATGTCACGTGTTCCTCCTCCCGTGGGAGGACTAATGTCACGTGTTCCTCCTCCCGTGGGAGACGACAGAGTGGACCTCATGGAGGCAGCGTGGAGGGGATGGTTGCCAGGGAGGGAGGGAGGGGGTGAAGAGGGGTTGGTTAGTGGGGATAAACAGGCAGTTACATGAGAGGAGTGAGTTCCAGCTTCCCATACCACAGTAGTGTGAGCATCACAAGCAGTAATTTACTGTGCACTGCAGAGTAGTGAGAGAGAGGACTTGACACATCCCCAGCACAGGAGATGGCAAATGTTAGAGGTGGTGGCTGTCGTAGATGCTCTGATTCCTTTATTGTGCAGTGTGGGCATTTGTCAGAATGTCACAGGTACCCCAGAAATATATACAATTATTAGGTATCAATAAATAATTGTAAAAGAGAAAAAATGGTCAATCACGGACTTTTTACTCAGTAAAAGTATCTTTGAACAATGAAAGCAAAATGAAATTTATTTAACCATAGAAATACTTGTAGAATTGATGATCCACAGATATTCAACAAGAAATAATAAAGGACATGCCCAAGATAGAAATAAAATCATACTAGATATAAAAGTGAATATACACAAAAATGAGAAAAACAGACATGGGAACTGCACGGACACATATAGAAATGCACGTGAACACGGACATAAAAGGCAAACTACAGGACAGAACAAAGAGACTTAGGAGATAATAATAGTAAAATCCATCCAACCAAAGCAGGTAAAGACTCACCTCAAGACATATGGAACATTCTACAGGGCACACCAAGTAATTAGGATCTCAGATTTTAAAAAGTAGAAATCATACATAGTATGTTCTCCAACAGTGATATAAAAGAAATAAGAATTATGCAAGAACACTATGGGATACTGTGTGCCAAGAAATTAGATGAAATAGATAAATTCCTAGAAACACACAAACCAGACTCAAGAAGAAATAGAACACATGATTACAACTATAACAAATAGAGAGACTAAATTAGTAATTAAAAACTTCCCCACAAAGAAAGGCCCGGACACAGAGGGGCTCATTGGTGAATTCTGCCAAATGTTTAAAGAATGATTAATAGGAATTATTCATTTACTCTTTCCACAAAGAGAAGAGAAAACTTAGCAAGTCATTCTACGAGGCTAATTCTACGATGATAACCAAAAGCACACAGAGACATCAAAAGAAAACTGCAGACCGATAATCTCTACAAAGATAGATGTAAATAAACCTCAACAAAATAATATGTAAAACAAAATGAATCTGTCAAAAGAAATATATTAAGCACCATGACCAAGTGGTATCTGTCATAGGATTGTAAGCAGGTCTTAGCATGTAGAAATCAATTAGGCCCATATTAATAAAATAACGGACAAAGCCACGTGACCGTCTCAGCAGTCACATCAAATGTGCTGTGCAAACAACACGGATGCTTGTCTTTCTCCTCCTCTTAGAGCCTCCTGAAAGGCAAGGGCTGGGGGACACACAGGACGGCTGCTGTCCGTGCAGAGATTCCGAGTGTCCCATGGCCGGCTGTGCGGGGACTTCCCACTGCACGCTGAAGGGCTGTCCCTTTGTGAGTCCAAAGGCCCTGGTCTCTGAGCCCACTTCCTTGGCAGTGATGAATACAGGCACCCGAATGGGAGACTGGGATTCAGGCCGCTGTGATTTCAGGACTGGGGTCACAGCCAGGAAAGGCTTCAGTCAAAGAGAAAAGCGTGTGTGGGCTCAACACAGAAGGGAACAGGACACGTGTGGGAAACAAGGAAAGCGCAGAGCGGCCGGAGCTGAGCGGGGATAAGGGACACAGCGGGGACCACCTGCCTCTCCCTGGGCGTCTCGCTGGGGCGCCGTCCCCTCCCCAACTCCACGCCCGAGTAGACCGCGAAACTGTCCCACAACATGTCCTCCCGCCACGACAGGGCCTGGCGCCGGAACCAGGCCCGGCGTGAGGAGGGCAGGGCGGGCAGCAGCAGACGGAGGTGGCCTAGAAAGGGCTGGTTGACAGCAGGGGACTGAGTTCCCAGCTGTGGCTCAGAGCGGAGCTTCTGACCTTGCCAGGGGCGCACAGGACCCGAGGGGTCTCCCCACTGCAGACGCGGCCTCGGCAGGGCGGGCCGACGCTCCGTGTCTGACAGCTGCCGGGTGCGGCTGCTGTCCTGGTCCTGCAAGGGCCACCTTTGAGTAGACGAGCCCTCGCCAGCCTCCTCGCTCAAGCACGGGGACAGTCACCTACGGAAGGCGCCTTCTGTGGATGAGGAGTGGCCTTCATTCCCTCCTCCCAAGGTGTCCTAGTGTGACTTGTGTTGCCATAAATGAACACCCGAGGGTGGGGAATTGATAAAGAGAAAGAGGTTTAATTGGGTCATAATCCTGATGTTGGAGAGTTCGAGACGGGCGTCTGCTCGTGGTCAGGGCGTCCGGCTGCTTCCACTGATGGTGGAAGGTAGAGGGGAGCCCAGGCGTGCAGAGACCACATGGCCAGACAGGAAATGAGAGAGACACTCATAGGGCGCCAGGCGCTTTCGAACAGCCAGCTGTCGTTGGAGCTACTAATAACAGAGTGACACTCACTCACCCCAAGGGAGGGCAGGCATCTATCCAGGAGGCATCTGCCCCCATGACCCCAACAAGTCCCTTAGCTCACACCTCCAACCCTGCTGGTCACATTTCTCCTGAGGTTGGAGGGACAACGTCCACCCCACAGCAGCTGACTCTCTGGGGCAGGCCCTGCCCTTGGCCACGCTCTCACGTCTCCCCCCTCAGGCCTGGGGCCCTGACCCTGCTGGCTCAGCCCCTCCTGCTCCCGGTCTCCCTGACACTGGGTCACCGTCCCTTGTGCTGGTGCAGCCGCAGCGTTGGGGGCGTAACTGTGTGTCCCTTCACCCACAGAACAGGGCAGAGCCACACAGCTGAGGTGCGGGGGCGAGACGCAAAACTCCGAGACCCAAGATGCCGCCTGGGCTCCGGCCTGACAGGTCAGCTCCTGGAGCACCCCTGGTGTCCCGGCAACGAGAAGGATTATTGCTGCGTCCCGTGCAGGGTGGGGGAGGGGGCTCTGTTTACACCTCCCATGTGATGAGGAAGCAGGAACAGACCCCTGCTCAGTTCGGACTCCTGTCCTGTCCCAGGATTCCCTGTCACCTCCCCTGGAGTAGGACATTTCTCAGGTTGAAGGCTGAGGCAATGTGGCCTCCGCCTCTCTCCACCACATGGCAAAGTGAGAGCTTGGGGCCATCAGCTCATTGAGGACACCTGGGAGCAAAGGCTCCGTCCCTGCCTGAGGCCTGTGTGCTCAGACACACTCTCCACCTGCTCAGCCCAGGTAGCCAGGTATGATGGACAGGTGGCTCAGTGACCAAATGGGGACAGTTGAGGGGTGTCACCTTAGGATTTCTGCCACGAGCTAATTTGATCTGCTTCCTACTGTAACAGGGCCATTCTTTTCAGCTTTTTAGAAGATTCCTCTTTTGTCCTCATTAGAGAAGAGAGTGGGGGCAGTTGAGGTGGGTGATCGGGAGTTACTGCAGCATGCAAATGGTCAGGGGGTTGGTCTAGCCCATGTGGGGTGGGGCTCAGTGTGTAACCAGCATTTCATTGGGGGAGGGCTCTTGCCCTGATGCCCCAGGGAGAGTGCAGTGACATCATCATAGCTCACTTCAACCTCAAACTCCTGGACTCAAGCGATCCTCCTGAGTCAGCCTCCCAGAGTGCCAGGATTACAGGCGTGCGCCACTGTGCCCAGCTATGCGATGCTCTCCACACATGTGACATCTCATTTAATGCCTGTCATCAGCTCTATGAGGGAGGGATTGTGTCTGAGCACAGCAGCGACCACATATTTACAGGGCAGAGTGTTGGCTTGCACTTGAAACCACAGAACGTGTCAGTGGAACAGGACAAGTCTAGAGACCCTGCGCATCGCTCCTCTGGGGGCCAGTGACTCAGCCCCGCGGACACTTGCACTCAGGGCTGCCTGTGCAGCCAGCTTGCACCTTTTTGCCAGCTGCAAAATGAGACAGCAGTTCTCTCTCTCTCTCTCTTTCTTTCTCTTGATGGGGCAACCTGCATGGCCTTTTGTTAGGGTTGTTTAGAAAGAGGTCGCCCAGCGCAGGGCTGTGCACCAGCTGACAGTTCGGTGCTAACTCCTCAATCTCACCACCAGGTCTCACTGTGGACAGGGCACGGGCACGGGGAAGTTGTCATCTCAGAGTCCTGCTGCTTCACTGATGGCAGAGAGCTCAGGGACCAGGGGTGAGCATCGCGGACCCTGGAAGGATGGCGGAGCTGGTCCCCACCACAGGTGTCAGTGTGAAGCCATCAGGACAGAGCTGGCTTCCTGAAAGGGGCTGCTGTTCTGCACAACCCCAGGGACCTGCTTTGTGGAACAGCAGCCCCTGCAGAGGCCTCTCGCTGGCTGGAAGAAAGCGCCGGGTCTGCTGCTGGGAGGGCCGCAAAGCCCAGACTCGGCAAAGCAGGCAGAGCCGCGGCCAAGGGCAGGACAGAAGCGACGAGCCTGAGAGCAGGGGCAGCTGCCCGAGGCCCCGCTGGAGACAGGCGCCTCAGACTCAAGGCTTGCAGGGGCTCTGCACCCCCACCGCTCCTGTGTGACACACAGTGGCATGTCCTTACTGGAACAGGTCATAGGCACAATACCGTCTCAAGGGCTTGGGCTGCAGGCAGAGATGCTTGTCCTCTAAGCCCATTTCTGTTACCTGCTGCTGAGTGGCTGTGAGTATTCAACACCTGGAAATCCAAAGTTTCTCACTGACAGGTTAGAAACTTTCTGGAAAACGAGAGGCTAGGCAAGAACTCCTGTGATCATACTTGTCACGTATTTAACACACAGCCCAGCGCACCGGGGCGCTCAGTAGCTGGCAGCGAATATCAGTGACTCACTCATGAAAAGTGGACTCGGATGGGAAAGAGCGCACAGAGGGTTTCAGAGGGGCAGGGACAAGACAGACTGAAATGACTTGGCCCAGGCCCAGGAGCTGAGCTGAGCGTCCCCAAGGCTGTCTCCTGCCAACTCGCTCATGTCTCAGAGACTGTCTCCCGCTGGCAGAGCCAGGAGGGCAGCAGAGCAGTTGCAGAGCCGGGCCGCACCTGCATCCAGTAGGGGGCGCTGCTGTTGGGGCGGGAAGGGGAGGCTGAGCCCATCTGAAGGGTGTTGAAGGGTTTCTGGCCCTGGGGTCCTGGGCCAGCCCTCCCTGCTTGGGACCTCATCCTCACCAGACTGGCAGGAGCTGGACGGGGGCCTGTGACTGTGATTACAGACCCCACCCAGGGCCACAGGGGCAGGCCTGGGAGGGAGGGTCAGAGGTGACAGGGGACACTCTTTGCTTCCTGGGGTGCAACAGGCTCCCAGGGATGGAATTCAGGCAAGCTGGGGGAGGGACACCAGGACAGGAGGGCCCTCCCCAGGGGACTGTGGGCACAGAGACAAAGGCATCTGCCAGGAGCCCAGCCCTGCAGGGGGTGCCTTGAACACACTGTTCTTAGGGGGTCCCCGTTGTTTGCCAGGACTGCCACCAAACCACCCAGACATGCTGGCTCAAGGAAAACACGCTGACTGACTCTCTGTTGGAGGCTGGAATGAAGGACACTTTCTCTCTTGCTGTTTCAGGAGGATCAACCTCCCCATGTCCACGCTCCTGAGCAGAAGCCAAACCGGGGTGTCCGGCTGCTATGACTGTGTCATCCATCAGTTGCCAGTGTTCCCTGGGTGTCCAGGGTCCACCCACACTCTCTATCACCAGAGCGAGCACATCTCTGGCACGGAGACAGAAGTTGCTGCCATGGGCTCCCAGCCAGGGGACAGGCTCAGTTCCTCAGGGGGTGGGTCCGTGCAGCCGCCTCCCCGGCAGAGTCTCCCCGGATCACTGAGATCATCTGCTTCCTGCTGCACTGCAGGTCCTGGGTGTCCTGAGCCCAGCTCAGCTCTGCCAGCACCTCTGCAGCCCAACAGCCCGTTCTCCACCCCCTCCTGCCTCACAGGACTGAGCTGCAGGGAACAATAGAGGGACCCTGCTCTCTCTGTCCCCAGTGGCTCTTCCCATCATCACCCCAGTCCTTAGGACTGTCCATCTGCACCCGCCCATAGACCACAAAGATGTCCTCTGGGGACAGTCACAGGACACAAACTGATTGTCAATGTTGTGCACATGTTGCGGACAGTTTCTGCAGAAATGAGCACCTCCTGCCAGTACCAGGAGGCCACAAGCAAGGTGAGCTCTAAGAGGCCACTGGGGAGCTACACACACAGAGTGTGGACAGGGACAGTGGATTTGCGGTCGTTCTGCTGGGTCACACCCTGGTGAGGTCTCTGGGAACCAGTCCGGTTCCCTGCAGCTGGCGGTCACTGATCAGGACAGCAAGCTGGGAGGGTGTGCTACCCGCTGGCCTGTGCACAAAACAGGCCCATGTGTGTGCATGTGTGTGTGTGTGTGTGTGTGTGCACTCACATGCTGCTGTTGCGAGGGGTATTGCCAGTGTCAAATGTTCCAAACCCAGAGCTTTTCACTTTTCCTACCCTCCCTCCTCCTGCTGCCTCCAGCGCCCTGCACTGTAATAAGAATAAGGGTGAGGATACTGACGGTGGTGGGAGGAGGAATGAACATTCATTCCCACGTGCTTAATACACGGCAAGCGCTACTCACAGCACTTCTTGTTATTAAATCCTTTGATCCCAGCCACTGCACAATCACACATTTTCAGCATCACCCACTTCACAGCTGGGGAGTCTCTGGCCCAGATTTCTACAGATGGGACGACATGCAGCGAGAACAACTGGCCTGTGGTCACAACCAGACAGCGGCCGACCCAGGAGCAGAACCCTAGCTCCCCTGCCATGGAGGGAGCAAGGGGAGTGCCCCACCTCTGTCCACACACAGGGAGGACAGTGCACCTGATGAAAGAGGAGAGAGTGGTGACAAGAGGGACCCGGAGCCCTGGCATGGGAGGAGAGGCAGGGCAGGGATGGCTGGAGCATCAGGCTCTGAGCTGAGTGTCCTGGATGGACTCTTGACCACACTCACTGCTGTCTCTGGACTGTGGCAAAATCATGTCACCTCCTGACCTTGGTTCGTTCATGAGTAGACGGGACGGAGATTGTGCCTTAAGAAAATGGTTGCTATGGGGTTATGATGAATGCCCTTTTAGGATGGTGAATATAAAACCCTCAGCAGTGTCTGGCATGTATCTGGTGCTCAGAGGCAGTCACTGTGCATGAACTAGTGACACAGGTAAGGTGTCGTTCCTCCTGTGGACACCAGGGGGCACTGTGGGCCTTGGCTTGGGGACCAGAATAACTCCAGTTCCCTGGTAGAGCTCAGGTGCAAAGGGCAGGACTGCTGCTCCCTGGGATCACCTGTCTATTAGGTGACCTCCGTGCTCCACACATGAAAACCTCCTTCTCCTGCCTTGGAACCTGGAAAACTGCCAGCCTGGGGCCCTCAGGCTCAGCGCTCAGACTAGGGCTCAGAGAGACACTGGGGGATGGGCAGGGCTCTGTGCTCAGTGCTCACCAGGGAGCAGCCCCTCAAGTCACAAGAGGAAGGAAACAGATTTGCATGAAGAGACTCCCCTCCTGTGATAAGCAAGCCCCACAGGTCCCTCCCCACTTGTGGGCTCAGAGGCAGAGCTCTGGGTGTCACCATGGCCTGGACCCCTCTCCTGCTCCCCCTCCTCACTCTCTGCACAGGTGCCGCCCCAGGCTCAGCCCCGACAGCACCAGGGCTCAGCCTGGCCCTGACCTTAGGCTCAGCACAGGGGCTGCTGCTGGGTGTGGGGCCCTCTGGGAATGAGACCGTCACCCTCAGACCCCCCTCTCCTGTCCTCTCTTGCAGGTTCTGTGGCCTCTCAGCTGACTCAGGTGCCTGCAGTGTCTGTGGCCTTGGGACAGACGGCCAGGATCACCTGCCAGGGAGACAGCTTAAGGAGCTATTATGCAAACTGGTACCAGCAGAAGCCAGGCCAGGCCCCTGTGCTGCTCATCTATGGTGACAACCAGCGGCCGTCAGGGATCCCTGAGCGATTCTCTGGCTCCAAATCGGGCAACACGGCCACGCTGACCGTCAGCGGGGCCCAGGTCGAGGATGAGGCTGATTATTACTGCGGCTCATATGCGGGCAGCGGCACTTTCCACATTGGTCCAAGTTCATGGGGAAGTGAGACCAAAACCTGCCCTGTGCTCACAGGCTCTCTCTCTGTTAGGAAGACGCTTCCTCTGCCCTGTCCAGAGGAGGCTTCATGCACATGACCTTGAGAATTCTCTCCTCTCACCACCTCTCCCCTCTCCCACTGAGGTTCACAAAATACCCTGCTCTCTGGTGGACTTTCTGTACCCATGGTAGCCTCCTCTTAGAGAGGGTGACACGATGAGTGAACATGCAACTCTTGCTAACTTTTCCATGTCCTGACGAGCATGACCAGCAGACGCCTACTCAGTGCAGCTCCTGCAGTTCTCAGGGACATCCTCACAGTAAGTGTCCCCACCTCCCCACTGGCATGGCAGCCTGGACCCAGTTCTCCAGGCGTGGCCTTGTCTCTTTTAACTCTGTGTCCACCACGCTTGAGGCAGAATCACCTCCTCGGTGGCTGTTCCACTGCACATCTCTCCCAAGTGGCTGTAACTCAGGATAGATCTGAAAGTGTCGCAAAGGAAAGAAGACAAAGGGAAAGATTGGTTCCTTTTAGTGTCGCTGTCTTTCAAGCATATGCAAGGGGCCGGGTAGGGAGCCCGAGTGACAGAGTTGTGCCACATCAGCACAGACCCCCTTACCAACAAATGACCTGCTGTCCTGGAATCAGCTATGCATGGGGATGGCCCCCTCCTAAGGGTGGGCTTTTCTCTTTGGTTTGGGGGGTCTGTGTAGAGACAGAGTCTCGCCATGTTGCCTGGGCCGCTATGGAACTCCTGACCTCAAGCGATCCACCCTCCTTGTTCTCCCAAAGTGCTGGGATTACAGTCATGAGACACAATGCCTGGCCTGATTTTCTCAAATCTTTCTTCCTTCTACAAGAAAGGGGCGTTTGGTGGGTCTGTCCCCATTGTCAGGGTTTGCCAGAGTATCAGCTTTCTGTGTAGATCCAAACAGCTTCCTAGCTGGGATCACATGCACTGTACCACTGAGTCCGCATATATGTAAGTGCCGGGCAAGGGTCTGTGGGACTCTGGAATGAACCTGGGCTTCCACTCTAGAAATTACGGTGGAGTGAGCACAGACATCCTGGTTCCTTGAGACAGGCCCTAATGCGTTACTGCCAGTCCCAAGTGGAGGATCGCCTCCTGTCTTCCAAAGCAGGACAGCCGGCCCCTGCCTCGCAGCTCAGTGTCCTCATCGCGGTCAAACTTCCCGGACTCGTTCACGCTCCTTTCCCACTGATCTTTCACTGACCCTGGAGAAAGGTGAGAGCCTGGGGCTCCAGTCAGCTGGGCTGGCACAGCGACCCGCAGGGGTCCTGGGCAGCTGGGTGCCGCACCTGTGGGCAGGGCCGCGTCACAGGCGACGGGAGTGACGTCCCCATCAGGCCCGAGTCTGTGCGAGGCTGGCCGAGGCGGGGCCGCGTGTGGACGCGCGTCCTTCTGTCGCGGCCGCCACTGCCTTTCCAGGGGACCCCTCTCAACGCGGGGCCACATCTTCCTTTTGGGAGGTCGTCACTAGTTTATCATAGGAGCAATTACGAAGGAAGGCAGGAGCTAGATGATGTTCGGAAGGGGCTGTGGCGACTGATCTCTGGAACTTCCACAGACGTGTGCGCTGCGCATGCGCAGAGCGGAGCTCCCCCCCCTCCCCAGCGCCAAGCAGCGCCTGCGCGTGCGGTGCGCACCGTGGCAGGGAGAAGGTCATGCGGGTGCAGGCCACCTGCGAGCCGAGGTGTCCCCGTTGGCACAGTGTCCACTGGGTCTGCTGACCAGGGAGTCAGGAGGTCGGGACCCCTGGCGCGTGACCCAGGGCCTGGCTTCCTCGCGCCCCTTTCTCATAGCGCCATTCGGCGTGCTTTGCCTTTTTGGAAAATGTCGATGTACAAGAAATAATTGGATTAAATTGTGCCTGGAAGATAAGGCTCTGGACGTTGATTTTTTTTTTTTATTTCGAATTTTTTTAGTTTCCTATTTATTATTCATTATTTTCTGTAAAAATAAATTTTCTGCTTCCTTTTTGGTGGCAGTTGTGCCTCTTACTTGTGAGTCATGTCATGTTACATTGGCACAAAAATCTGAAATCACTGGATAGCAAGGGGCCCTCCTGCAGCAGGGGTCCCCAGGCTGCTCCTGGAGCTGACGGCACGTGACACGGAGCAGAGGCGGCCCCTCGCCGAGGTCAGAGTTCGGTCTCCCGCGGGAGGACCTGGGACTCCTGAACTGTGCAGGGTCTCTGCCCTCTGGCCCCCAAGACAGTGCAGACAGCCGGGTGGGTGACTTCTGGACAGCTGTCACCATTGTCATTTTATTAAGATCTCAAATAATAGACATTGTCTTCTAACGTGTAACGCAATATAGCGCATATTAATGCATGTGTAAAACACACGTGCAAGCAACGGCCTCATATGGGTGACCTTTTAAGAGCACATTGGTGAGACAGACAAAATCCAGACTATCCTAATATGCTTGTTAAGCATAAATTGAAAACATCTGGGCAAGGTAAGACACAACTTGGAAGGAATATTTGATAATAAAAACTAGCAAATTAGTTATTCCAGGGATCAATGCTATCTCATTTCCCTAAATCCTAATGGAATTAAAATCTCAGAAATGGGGAAGTAGACCAAGTGCAAAGTGTCTCAGGCCACGTGCTCCCCATTGACTGTGCGGCCCAAACACCACGTGGGGCAGCGGACAGGGCGCCCAGCAACCAGCTGAAGGCGGGTTCTCCGGGTGTCTGAGGTCCTAGGGCAGGGAACGGAGCGTCCCCTCCACGCCTGCTGGTCCCCTTGTGCAGACACCCTGCGTGTCCCGCTGACGGCCAGGAGGGCTGCGCATCCCTGGCCTTGCCCTGACGGGTACTTCCTACAGAGTGACACGGGCTGCCCTGACACGGGGCACGGGCTTCCCACTGGGATCCTGCTTCCTGCCACACGCATCTCTGAAAAGCTGCGCCACCTGTCACCTGCTTATCAGAGCACCTGTTCACTGCTGCTGGAGTGGGACCTCATGTCCTTGTCACCCGAGCGATTTCCCTTCCACAAAGCTCACACGCTGCTTCCTGGCACCCACAGGGGCTGGAGGAGCCCGTGACAGCTGGGGATGTGACGGCTCCAGCATCAGCCATCATGGCGGGGGAGGGGTCAGTCCTCTCTCGGCCCTGGTGTGACTCTGTCCTAGCTGGGCACCCCTCCTTAGCCTGACCCTTGACCAAGGCGTCAACTTCCACGTTGTTCTTGTTCACTGTTTGATCCAAAAACATTTACCGTGCTGTGGGTGCCATGGTCCAGCTTTCCCGCCCTTGTCACAGGCGGCAGCCTTCCCTGGGGCGAGCTGGGCTCTCAACGGGAGCTGCCTCGCCAAGGCGGGACTGGGAGTCACACCCACCGCTGACACCACCACAGCCCATGCATGCTGGGGGCAGGGGACACAAACCCTGCCGCCTGGCCTGCTAGGGGGACATACCCTTGTGCAGTTATGATCGGAGTCCCCCCAGGAGCAGGCTGCAGCCACACTTCCCCTCTGCCCCTCCCCCTCCCTCCTCCTCCCTCTCCTTCTGCTTTCTTTGCAGAACACTCCTCAACAAATCACATGGGCCCAAGGTCCAGTGATGGAGTGAAGGGGCAGGGCGCATCCTGCTGCTCCATGTCTAACATTGTCACACGCAGCATTTCTTCTACACCCTTCCCAGGCCAGCCCAGGCACAGGACAACGCCCCATCCATTCTAGGCTGCAGGACAGTCCATGGTAATATTTTAGCCAACTCGCCCTAATCGTGATCACCAAGATTCTGATCTTACAAATAACACAACTATGTTAATATCATATGATTACAGACGGAAGGACTGGAACAGCACCACAGAACAGCTAGACTTAGACAAATACACAACTCTCCATTTCAGAACAAAATAACTTACCAACCAATGCAATCGCTATCAAAATACTAGTGACATGTTTCACAGAAATAGAAAATAAATCCTAAAATTTGCATGGAATCACAAAAGACCCCAAATAGCCAAAGCAACACTGGGCAAGAAGGAAGCTGGAAGCAAGCATGGCGCTCCCTGACTTCATAGTATACTATGAAGCTATAGTAACCAACACACCATGGTATTGGTGTAAAGACAGAGACAGACCCAGGAAACAGAAGAGAGAACCCAGAAATAAATCCACACATTCACAACCATGGGACTTCCCAGAAAGGAGTCTAGAACATGCATTGGGAAAACAACACATTTTTCAATAAATGTTTCTGAGGAAAGTAAATATTCAGAAATTAAGTATTTGCAGAAGAATACAACTAGACCCCTATCACTCACCACATACAAAAATCTCCCCAAAATGGATTAAAGAGTTAAATGTAAGATCCAAACTGCAAAACTACTAGAAGAAAACATGGAGCCCAGGAGAAATGTTTAGGACAGTGAAAGGTTTTATGGCTAAGACTGAAAGCTGAAGGCCCCAGCCCCCAACTCCCAGCGGCTCCACTGAGATCTTGCAGCCCAAGCCCAGCTCTGCCCAGCCCGCGCCCCTCCTGTCCTTCCCTGGTCCTGGGTCTCTCCTCTGCCTGGATCCCAACACTCCTCTCTAAGTGGGACTTTGCTTCCTTGTCAACATGACATGCCGCGCTTGTTCTCTTCTCCTTTTTTGTTAATAGTGGTGTCATTTACATCCAGTATAATCCGCCCTCTCTAGAGAACTTTTGTGACTTTTGACAAATGCATCCAGTTGTGTGAATACCTCAAACAAGACAAATGACAATGTCACCCTCCATAGACTCCCCAGGTCCCTCTGGAGTCACGCCATTCTTCCACCCCAACACCAGGCCACTGCTGACCCTGTGCTGGGCAGGGCAGGGCAGGGGGTGAACACTGGCACAGGGTGAGGCTGGACTGACTGGTCCCCACCCACCAGGTGACAGGTGCTGTGGGGGAACCTGGAGGAGGGAAGCGCCTGCCCTGAGTCTCCTCCACCAGCAGGGGGCGGCAGAGCTGCAGCTGGAGCAGCAGGACACAGGCTGGGGATGCCCAGGTGGGGCCTGAGGGGGATGTCAGCCTGTGGCAGCAGGTGTCCTAGGCTCAGTCTTCAGACAGATAGTTGGACATTCCATCCTGTCCCCATAGGCTTCAGAGGGCACGTTCTGAAGGTCAGACTCACAGAGCGTCACCCCAGGACGCTGACGGGAGCCCGGGCACAGTGAGTGTCTCACCTGCGAAACAGCTGGAGGGGCCTGGGGACAGGTGTCAGCCTCAGCAGCTACCACCGGGCTGGGATTCCCTGGGGCCACCCCGAGGTCCAGGTGCTCTGTGAGGGGAGCAAGTGTGAGGGGACAGGGCTCCCAGGGCTGGGTCCTTCCCCTCGAGGTGGCCTGAGCCTCCGGCCCACACCCAGGTCATCGTCCTCCCTGTCCAGCTGTGGTCCTGGGAGCTGAGCCTCTGTCCCGGGCACTGACAGGGACACCCCGGCCACTCGTCCCCCTGCCACGCCCCCTCCAGGCAGGCTCTGCCCTCAGGCCTCAGCTCCTGTGCTCAGCTGGGGCT